CCAAATCCTGTGCCAGCTCTTGCAGGCTCCCCTTTAATACGGACTCTAGTCCTAAATATGGCCCCGTAGACTTTGGACTGATTTTGAGTTCCATACCTGAGTTCTAGAGCAGCTGCCAGTGCTCCATAGTTGTGCCTGTCACCTGCTGACAACTGTCCAAGTATTTCCAGTGGTTGTCCCTTCAAGCTTGTTGTCAGGTACACTGCCTTCTGCTCCTCTGTCCATCCATTCATTTCTACCAGGAGCTCAAATTGTGCTCTATATGCTTCCCAAGGTGCCTTCCAATCGAATTCCTGTAGCTTACTTCGTACAAGATCACCGCTATTGCTGACACTCATGTCTGAAATGTGACTTCTGACAGGACTGAAGATGTCTGCATTAGAGTTTAGCTGCGGGGTCTGGAAGGGGCTTCCCGTTGTCTGTGGCTGATTAGGTCCATGGCTGTTCTTTGCTGTTCTTGTATTGCGGCCATCAAATCTGCTAAGCTGTAGTTTGATTTGCCACCTCTCGTTTCCATCTTCTTCTTTTTTTCCGTCCCACTCTCTGATACCAATTTGCTGCTTATCTGCTCGTTTGTTGATTTCCAGTAGTAATTCTTTCCGAAGACTTCAGCGATACAAGTCCTTTCTTAACTAAAACTAGTTTATTATTTCTCTATACAACTTTGTAATACACATAATTTCCACAGTCACTTGAAACTTAAATACTGTTACGACAGCGGGGGTCACGTGACGCTAGTAACACGTCATATTCTCGAAAGTTCACGTCCCTTCTTGAAGTCTCGGAAGGTTACTAGATATGCAGTATTCTTGTATATATAAGACCGGTAAGAACTGATGGCAGTAATGTGTGTAATTGAACTGCGGACAAAGAGAGACGTATTGTTGAGTCGAGCACGTGAGACGTTCGTTGTGAATTATAGCTTTTGTTATAGCACGACTGTGGAAATTAAGTGTATTGCAAAGTTGTATTCAGAAAGAATAATCCAGTTTTATTTAAGAAAGGACTTGTTACGTTAAAGTTTCTTTGGAAAGAAATTATACGGAAAATTAACTAACGACCAGAGACGTAACAATACTTTTATAAACACAGACTATAAATCACAGTGATTCACACACACTTTACTCTCTCTATGTCTATCTATCTATGCAGTTCTCTTCTATCAATCTCTTCGCTCTATCTCGTGCTGATTTTACTCGCAAGGCTTATATATTAAAAAAGAAGGCGTCTCGAATGTACTCGGGCCTTCATGATCCTTCTAGAAACTCATCACGTGTTACCAGTGTCACGTGACTTCCGCTGTCGTAACACAACCAACCCATTTAATAGCCCACAAATTTGTACATGAAAAAATTAATAGCAGTGGCGGACATTTCAAAATTTTGTGAGGGGGGGGGGCAAGGTTAACCATCCGAAATCCGACAAACTGAAAGTGTCAGATATTGTATATTTGTAAAGGTTAATGTTTATGGACCCAAGTTGGTGGAGGATGATTTTATTTTTAATATAGCATTTGATGCTTTTTAAAGGTTGTTACCGTAAATATTCCAAACAATTTACAAGGGGAAATCATTTGAAAGATATTTGATAATTTTATATAAAGTAATACATTTCGACGACGATTTCGTACAGTTTGGGATTTGCCTAGTTGAAATTTGAAAAAAAATAAAATAATAATAATTCAACCAAAGACACCGAATCATCGAGTCCTGTAAACTAATATATAGCTTGGCCAATATATTCATGCACTACGTACATGTACGTAATCTGGGCAGCTGGGCCAACATATAATTTAGAATTCGTATTCATGATAAAACATGTAATGTGGTGT